AACTAGATCTTCATTCTAGAATCTAAATCTATTGATCAATTAAAACAATATGATTAGAATTACATTTCCACAAGCTTGTGCAATAAATTTAATTTTTGTTAATTCACTAATAGCTTTATATTGAGGGTTTAGCTACGTGTTAAGAAATGTTTATATAGTAGGTCACAAAATGTTTGGCGTACATGTTAAACGATATGCTTAGTTGTCTTTAGTAAATGCCTGTATGATTAATTTTGATATTAATGGCCAACTATTGAGATGGCTATTCAGTTCAATAAATAATAAGCATGCTTCAATGTATAACGCATTAAAACATGAGCTTAGCAATTAGCTTACTACAGTGATGAGTATTACATGTTTAGATTTCAGATCAAAATTGAAATTATTTAATCACATGATATGAAATCGTATTGGATGCTACCATATAGAAGAAGAAGAAGGCTATTTAAACTTAGCTAGCAATCTCAAGCTGTCAAGTAACAAAATGATGTCATTTTATTAGTCTAACAAAAGATTCCAGTCTGACTGACCAAAAAAAAAAATTCAGTTTTATTTTTCAAGATACCAACCTCTCTCTCTCTCAACATACCAGCCTCTCTCAACAGATCAGCCTCTCTAAACAGACCAGCCTCTCTCAAAATACCAGCCTCTCTAAACATACCAGCCTCTCTCAACATACCAGACTCTCTCCACAGACCAGCCTCTCTAAACACACTAATCTCTCTCAACATAACAGTCCCTCTCGACATACCAGCCTCTCTCAACAGATCAGCCTCTCTCAACAGATCAGCCTCTCTCAACAGACAAGCCTTTCTCAAAATACCAGCCTCTCTCGACAGACCAGCCTCTCTCGACATGACATACCAGCCTCTCTCAACAGATCAGCCTCTCTCAACAAACCAGCCTCTCTCGACAGACCAGCCTCTCTCAACAAACCAGCTTCTCTCAACAGACCAGCCTCTCTCAACAAACAGCCTCTCTCAACAGATCAGCCTCTCTCAAAATACCAGCCTCTCTAAACATACCAGCCTCTCTCAACATACCAGACTCTCTCAACATACCAATCTTACCATACAAAAGAACAGGCTCTCTCAATATACCAGCCTCTCTCAACAGACCAGCCTCTCTCAATATACCAGCCTCTCTCAACAGACCAGCCTCTCTCGACATACCAGCCTCTCTCAACATACCAGCCTCTCTCCACAGATCAGCCTCTCTAAACACACTAGTCTCTCTCAACATACCAGTCTCTCTCGACATACCAGCCTCTCTCAACAGATCAGCCTCTCTCAACAGATCAGCCTCTCTCAACAGACAAGCCTCTCTCAAAATACCAGCCTCTCTCGACAGACCAGCCTCTCTCGACATGACATACCAGCCTCTCTCAACAGATCGGCCTCTCTCAACAAACCAGCTTCTCTCAACAGACCAGCCTCTCTCGACATACCAGCCTCTCTCAACAGATCAGCCTCTCTCAACAGACCAGTCTTACCATTTAAGACACCAGCCTCTCTCGACATGACATACCAGCCTCTCTCAACAGATCGGCCTCTCTCAACAAACCAGCTTCTCTCAACAGACCAGCCTCTCTCGACATACCAGCCTCTCTCAACAGATCGGCCTCTCTCAACAAACCAGCTTCTCTCAACAGACCAGCCTCTCTCGACATACCAGCCTCTCTCAACAGATAAGCCTCTCTCAACAAACCAGCTTCTCTCAACAGACCAGCCTCTCTCGACATACCAGCCTCTCTCGACAGACCAGCCTCTCTCAACAAACCAGCTTCTCTCAACAGACCAGCCTTTCTCAACAGACCAGCCTCTCTCAACAAACAGCCTCTCTCAACAGATCAGCCTCTCTCAACAGACCAGTCTTACCATACAAGACATCAGCATCTCTTAACACACCAGCCTTTCACAACATACCAGTCGTAACATATAAAAGACCACATTCTCTTACAATACAGGGCACAAGAATATCTCAACAAACTATAGACACCAGCAACTCAACAGACCAGCCTCTCTCAACTGACCATTCTTACCATACAAGAAACCAGCCTCTCTCAAAATATTAGTCTTAACATACAATAGACAATCCTCTCTCGGCACACCAGTCTTACCATACAAGAGACTAGCCTCTCTCAAAAGACCAGTCAGACGTATCAAGAATTCAATGCGACAAATATTCGTGCACTGCAGTAGAACCCTGATGCTACTATCTACTTCAAAGTGAATTAGCAGATAGCTGGAAATTGCTAAGCTAGGGTCGTAAGATTATAATCTCATCTGTAGCCCCTGACAAGTTGTACAAGAGCAGAAAAAAAGCTGTCATATATGAGCACCTAAAAGCAAGTCATAAATTTACATGTTTGTGATGATTTGGCTGATTTTTAAAATATGTTGCCATTTTAATGTTTCTTCATGTGACGTTTATTTAAAGAATAAATTTTAAAAATAAACACATTTTTTTGTTACATTTTGTAAAATAAGTAAAAATTAAGTAATTATTAATGTAATTGATGTGTTATGTCTCATTCATAATATATCTGACAATAAAGTTTATATTTTTATTATTATCATTCTACAAACCCAGCACCCACCAGATTTAGTAAAATAAACAGTGAGAATAGAAATATGTAATAAATAAAGCATAACCTTCAACAGTTAACAAGTCTTGTGCTAAATAGAGCCATAATAAATAAACAGTCGAAAGCGATAAAGCCATACTAAAACATCTCTATTAAAATTAAACTGACCCCATAAAGTAGAATAAACTCAAATAATTAAAATATGAGCTCGAAACTATAATCTAAATATTATGAAGTGTTAATTATAACTTAAAAACATAAACATAACTAAATCACGTTCATTGGACAAAACGAACGAACGCGACTGAGACCGAAATTCTCGGCTCAAAACAGCTAAGTCTGCGCGCGCACAGATAGACGGTTTGCACCGAGAGTTTTAGACCGAGCAAACCGTCTATCTTTTAAAATCTACTATAATTTTGTAAATATCAACAAAACTCATTTTAAAACGCTACAGTATCGTCGGTAGGGAGTTTCTTCGCACATATCATTAAACAAAAATTGTATTAGAGCGATCAACAAAGAAATAATCAGTTTTTTGTCTCTCCTGTAAAATTTACTTTTTCGGAGTTAGACGGTTTGCGACCGAGACCATCGATATATATATATATATATATATATATATATATATATATATATATATATATATATATATATATATATATATATATATATATATATATATATATATATATAACAATTAAATACATTGCAATAAACTTAGCTTATGCTAATCTGTCTAATCTGCATATATTCATTTTAAATAATCATTGGTATGGAGTACTTAAAATATATACTTTCTTACCTTGTGTATATATTACAATCTGATAGACTTCACGCGGCCAATCAAATTTTGATTCCAAACTGATTTTTTTCCCAGGCCTTTTTATAATTAAACAATTTTCCTCGATATTTTCATGTACGTAATTTATGCTGTGACTGTGGTTGTCAAAGCTTATGGCAACATTTGCTTCTTTTATAAGATCTCTTCCTAATTGAAAATGGTAAGTATTTTAAATTATTAGAAGAAGCAATGTATCGGAATATGAAGATATTAACGGCTAAAGCTTAAATATAAATTATCATATCAAAATACTAACCGCCGTTTACTCGGAGTTTGCAAATGGAAGCATTTGAATTAAATATGATTTTAATTTCAGTTACTACTAATTTGCTTTTGCAAAGAATCTCGACATTATATGAATCGACCCTAAAGTGCGTTGACTCGGGACATTTGTTCTCATTTCCATTGAGGAATGCATGAAGAGTTGCTGCACTCATATTACTCTCTATAAAAAAAAATATTAATTTTAAAGATATTGACCTAGTTATAGATACAGATTCAGAGAAAAAAATACTGATACAGTTAAATTATAGTTATGGTTACGGATAAAGCTGCAGCACAAGATACATCTAGATATAGCTGTAGACAAAGACATATACAGAAACACATACACATACAGCTACACATACATCCACGTCTTCGTCCACGTTCACGTACACGTTAACGTACATGTACACGTACATGTACTTGTGCACCTACACATACACAAACATACAAAAATATACAGTTACAGAAAAATATACAGAATATAAAATTATTACATAGTTTGTTGTTTTCACATAGAGATAAATCTATCATTTACACCACCCACCTGTATGAAAAAAAGTTATTCTAACAGAAATAAAATAGGTCTCCGCCTTAAACTTGATGTGTACAAAATTTGTTGAATAACAACTGCCGTTTTCGCGTAAATGTTGTGGGTATATTTCATTCGCCAAAGGCATAATATCTCCTGTTTTAACCAATGAATGTTGATTAATGACGTGAGTATGTTATTAAGAAGAATATATATATATATATATATATATATATATATATATATATATATATATATATATATATATATATATATATATATATATATGTGTGTGTGTTTGTGTGTGTGTTACGGTCAAAGCCCGAAGTCGGCCAACGCGCGGATTGGCCGGCCAATGCGCGCTTTGGCCAATATTGCCTCCCATTGACCGGCGAAAGTCCGAAATTGCTCTTGATTTCGGCCTTTGGCCAGCCAGTCCGAATAAGAAGATCATCTGGCAAGGGACAAAGTCCGAATTAGAAGATCATGAGCAGATTTTGGTTTTTTTTATACCGTAACAATCGTAAAAACTAAGTCTATGTTGATTATTATTTGGAATTACATTGTTATTTTTACACTTGCAGCGATTTGTTGTGCACAATCTAGTGCACAACAAATCGCTCAATTGCAGTAAATGTAGCCTTGGCCGCCGGTCAGAGATTGTGAAGATGCGATGGTTCGTAGTGATTCCCCTCAGTGCCAACGGGTGACAATGAGAGCAGCTTTTCGTGAAGAATTGAAAACTCACTTCTATCTATAGTTGTTTAAATACATCATGGTCCGTTGCCTTCGACGCTCATGCCAACTGCAATGACGCTTTGGGGATCACCGCGACCTCTGTCAACATCTGGAATACGGATGCTACCAGTATCTATATCTTCAGCGTGTTTAATTTTGTTAGCATCTTAGCACCTTGATCTTGCAAGGTAGTATGAGCTGCTGACCTGTTGTCCATGGTTTCTTGTTTATTGTGACATATTCTGCGAGCACTGTTTCCTCCATACCCTTTGTCTGCTTCATTGGCTATTCCGCATATTGCATGGACATCGTTGTCACAGGATCCACAAGAATGGGCCGAACTTCAATATTTCTCACAAACTACACATAATCTGTTGGCCTTATTATTGTCACGCAGATGTTCTGGACGTTGCGCCACGGCAGGAGATGTGTTAGCTGAGGATGTCGTTGCATTTATGGCAACCTCCATTTCTTGTTTAATGTTCTCAAGATCTTTCTCAATAGCTAACTTATCGAGAGCCGCTCTTGGTAGATTTGAAATGCTAAGTCCCACTTTTGCTTTGCATCCAAACAAGGCTTCGTTTGTTGGATTCCTTGATGAAAATTACGGTTTTTCATAAGACTCTCAGCCCAATGAGCCGATTCATCTGTCTACATCCATGTCATCATCATGTTTTGAACATCTTGGTTGGCAAGTACTACTGAACATTGGCTTTGGCTATGCCTTGGTTTTCGGTGAACTAGTTTAAGTTCAGGCCACATGTTCTTTAGTTAAGAAATAACGTGACTCACAAATTCTTTTCCATTAGGATTAGGATTATTTATTTTGGCAGCCATCTGCTGTGTCTGTCTCATGGTCTGACGGCCCTTTTGATCCAAGTCGCCTTGCATATAGAATGCTATACAAACAAGAGCTAAACAATACGTTACTCACAATGAAACCGCACCCAGAATAATGAAAACGCGATCACAACTTAGTCTAGATAGAACATTGGCCAGGGCTACCCGGCCAGTGCGCGCATTGGCCGGACAATGTACGATATACGATCTTAGTATTAAGTTCTTCGGGCTTTCGCCAAGAGAGCCGGCCAATCCGCTCTTTGGCCGCACTTCGGGCTTTGACCGTAACATATATATATATATATATATATATATATATATATATATATATATATATATATATATATATATATATATATATATATATACATATATATATATATATATATATATATTTATTTATTTATTTATTTATATATATATATATATATATATATATATATATATATATATATATATATATATATATATATATATATATATATATATATATATATATATATATATATATATATATATACATATATATATATATATATATATATATATATATATATATATATGATGGGTCTACTACAAATTCACGCAAGACACTTGCCCGAATGCCGTTTGCCCGAAGGCCGATTTCCCGAATGGACACGTGCCCGAATGCGATAAATGCCGGAATGGACATTTGGCCGAATGCGATAAACGCCCGAATGGACATTTGGCCGAATGCGACAAATGCCCGAATGGACACTTGCACGAATGCGACAAATGCCCGAACGGACACTTTCTCTACTGGGACAAATGCCCGAATGCCACTTGCATATATATATATATATATATATATATATATATATATATATATATATATATATATATATATATATATATATATATATATATATATATATATATATATAAAGCAAAGTGGTCAAACTTCCCGGTGCCACAGGCGCGTCAAATTTAGCACGATGACTCCATGGGGCGATAGAACACGAGGGCCGGTGCCGGTGACGGTTGGCCGAAAAGTTCACGGAAGGGGTCAAAACTGACCTCGTGTGACCGTCGTCTTATATTGGATATATTAAGAAAAACATTCTGCCGAATGACCCCCTTTGATATTTTGTGAGGTGGTTGGAGATCCCCTTAGGGTGTCAGAAAAAACTCGGCATATCCGGGAAAAATCTGCAAGTGGGTCAAAACTGACCAGTTGTATTTCCCTATATAATCTTTGTATTTTATGGAAAAACTGAGGGTATGTTCAAAACAGATTTTAGGGCACTTATGGTCTGCACATCTGGCTAATTTTTAGCAAGCTCCTCGATAACTGGCTAGGCCGTATGAAAAAACTGTCGGTTGGACTCAAAGCCCTCGACGAGGGCTAAAAGATGACCGCGAGTGAAATTCTCCTCATTTGCGCTATATAACGAAAAACATTCTGTCGAACGACCACCCTTGATATCTTGTGAGGTGGTAGAAGAACGACTAGGGGTGTCATAAAATACTCGGTATATCTGGTAAAACTTCGTAAAGTGGTCAAAACTGAGCAGTTATTTTTCCCTATATAATCTTTGTATTTTATGTAAAAAACATGCTATTTTCAACACAAATTTTAGGGTACTTCACCTATGTACATCTGACTAATTTTTTGCATGCCCCTCTATAGATGACTAGGCCGTCTGGAAAACCTTTCGGTTTAACTAAAAGCCCTCATTGAGGGCTAAATGATGACCGCGAGTAAAATTCTCCTTATATGAGAGATATATAAGTAAATTGATGAACGATCCCCCTAATATTGTGTTTGGTCGTAGACCGACCCTAGAGAGAACAAAAACACTTTATTCGCGTCGGAAAAACCCCTTAGGGTCGTTAGATTTGTACAGATTTGATATTTTCTTATATAAATAATTGTTTGTGAAAAAGTAAACAAAGATTACGTCATTCGGTCTATGTACAGGGGAGGTAACTTATTACAGTAATCATTTTTAAATAATTTGTATACTATTTATAGAAGAAACAAAAACCACAATGTATAGCATTCGTTTAAATAAATATTTCGTTAAACATTTAGTTATTTATTTTTACTGAAATATAAAAATTAATTGTAAAAGTAAATTAAATATAATATATGATTTATACTATTATTGAAGCCTTTGCAGTTCTAATTACCTTGCGAGCTATAAGTTTACGAAAACACCAATGCTTTCATCACTTGAAAATACTCAGACTGTTTAAACTTAGGAACTAAAGCACTCCACATAACAGCCAAACTCCCATTAATTAATGATTAAAACTCTCATAAGTTTTTTGTAAACTTAAGCGAAGCTAAGCAGAATGCCTAGTATATATATATATATATATATATATATATATATATATATATATATATATAATATATATAAAGCTCAATTCAGTAGATTTATATGTTTGTAAAATGTTTGTCGTAGATTACAAAGGAACATTAAAAAAAAAACGAGACCTCGATGGAATCAAGTGTTAGATTATTAAAGCTCTCCTGGTCAAAATGTATGAGTTAAAAAATTAATACTGAAAGTGTTGGGAAATAATTTTCATTATTCAAACTTATAGTAATAATTGTCGGCATGTTCATTAAACACAATTTTTAAAAAATATCATCTTTTACAAAAATTCAAATCATGTCTGAAAATTATTTATATTTAGACCTTTAGCACTTACTTCCCTTTGATAAATTAAGAAAACACAATTACTTCCCTTTATAAAACATTGTATTAGTAGAAAAGAATTTACTTTTTAATACTTTGCTTTGGTATTGGGGAAAAAAATTTACATATTTAGCGGGGATTGATTAAGTGCAATGTCGTTGGTATTGTAGTGTTTTTACGACACGTGCTGCCACCAAATGTAGTGTTTTTACTGTCTGTAAGTTGTACTGTTCTATTGTAATATTCTTGCTTCAATGAAATGTAACGTTTTTCTTCTCTTCTATTTCCCACTCTCAGTCACAGTCACAGACGATCAAGAATGATGAAGAATAAGCCGTCTTCTGCAAATCTTTATTAGACTATCTTTCTTGAGCGGAAATTGTCTGTGTAGCGCGCATCTAACAAGACTATAGCGCCTATACGTGTGCTGCATAAATTACTGGCTAGGGCCGTCGTTTCTCCCTCCTCTCTAAGGCTAACCCGCCGGCTTATATATCCTCGGATGACACATTGTTCTAAGGAAAAAATCTAGCTCTCGCTTGTGAAAATTTTCCCGGCTTTTGTGCTAACAGACCACAAATAACTCTGTATAAAAACTTAACGCGATCTCGTAAAATTCTAATAAGCTTATCTCTGAAACCACAGACAATTCCCTTTACAATGATACAAATTACAGTTAACATCAATAAGTTGTTATTAAACAATAATACTTCAAACATGCAAATATTGTAAAAATATAATCAAATACACCTAATTAAAGTAGATTTCCATAATATCGGCTTGCTCCTAACTAACACTAAGATCTTCTAATTAAAGATCGAGCTTGGCCTAATGGTTCATCAAATTTTCATGCTATAATAACAACTATTTGTTAAGATATGATTTTTTCTTCTTGCCCTACTAAGCACAATTGACTGATTTCTAACAAATTCACTACAGTATTTTTAATACTGCCTTTTGTTTATTCTATACACTGAACTTAAGGTTTACTAATTTTTATTTTAAAATCAAGAACAGTTAATAAGCCAGGTCCAACATGTCCTATATGTTTATTTCTTTCCTTTTACGGATAAGCTTGGAGTACTATAATTGTTCATTAAATTGAAACAGGCGCGACCGCCGGCGCCCAACAAGGATTCAATTTGGCGTCCTGGGCTATTATGTGAGCGCTATGGTGCATACTTTTGCTTTAAACAATGCGATAGAGTATGTATAAGAAAGGTTACTATAGTCTTTAAGTGAATCGAATCCGGGCGTCCTCTGTCGCCCGAACAGGGTACTATTTGGGGCCCCGTGCATTCACGTGTTCGGTTTGGCGCCTACGTTCGTTTAAGTGAGTGCAAAACACTATGAATAGGTTGGGGTATTATAGTCGTTTATTAAGCTGAAACAAACGATTCTAGCTAGACTGTGGACACTTTGCGTTTATGTTCGCGTTTGTGTTTTCTTTGTGTTTAGGTTGGGTTTGCGTAAGTGGTTAGTTTGCGTTTTGATTTTGTTCGTTTTCGTTATTTCTTTTTCGCTTTCAATTGTGTTTTCTTTTTCTTGGGTTTGTGTTTTTATTTGTGTTTGTGGTTAGTTTTGTGTTTGTGGTTGGGTTTTGGTTTGTATTTTCGTTTGTATTAGTGTTTGCGTTTATGTTATGTTTCCCATCTTTATTTGTGTTTTGGTTTTGGTTGGTTGTGGTTAGGGTGGGCAATGCCGGGTATATGCTGATTACTAAACACACATGTCATGTTTTTTTACAGATAGGTTTCAGAAAGCTCTTTTATAGACACCTGCACCAAACTACAAGAAGATATACAATTTTATATAATACTAGCCGTCCAGGTTTGTGTTGTGTTTTTTGGTGTTGTGTTGTGTTTGTGTTATGTTCGCGGTTATTTTTTTGTCTGTTTTGGTTTTGGTTGGTTGTGGTTAGGGTGGGCAATGCCGGATTTATGCTGATTACAAAACACACATGTCACGGTCCTTTGCAGGGCCTGGCCGGGACGTCTAGTAGATATATATATATATATATATAAATATATATATATATATATATATATATATATATATATATATATATATATATATATATATATATATATATATATATATATATATATATATATATATATCGAAATTGTATTATAGAATTGTAAACTGAATGTTATATCCTTATTTCTTTTAGAATGGTGCATAAGTTTTAATTTATCACCAGTAAAAATTAATTGAAATTAATTGCCAATACTTACTGTAATAACAATTGGGTCCAAACCAACCTTCTATACACCCATTCTCAGCCATTGCATCTATCGATTGAAAGTGTATGTTAAGAAACATGATATCCTTAGCAGTGCATAGAAGTTTATGTTAACTGTATTATGATCTATTAACTAGGACAGTAAAATTGAAATTAGTGAGCAAATTTAACATTTTATTTTCAATAAAATACATTATTTTACATTTTAATTACATTTTCTTTATTCATTGAAACCTTTTATTTCAAGCCATACTAGTGAACTACAAATGCAAAGTTTTATCAGTTGTTATATTAATCTTAAATAATAGTGTATTGAAATAAAAAGAGTTGTTATTTTACACAACCAAAACAAAAGATTTTGTATGAAAAAGGATACGTTTTCAGAATATTTCAATTCTTGTTTTGTATTTAGTTATGTTGTTAAATTACCCAGTAATTGTATGTCTATGAATAGCCATGACTTCGCTACAAAATAGAGCGTATCTAAAGGAAATAATATTTACCTATGCATCTACCTGGTAGTGACCACTCTTCATTATCTTGGCATTTTATAATTGCATTCCCTTCAACTTTATATCCTCTTCTACATTTCAAATGACATGTGGTACCGTTGCAAAACCTCCATTTTCCATTTTCTAATGTTTGTGGCGTTTTACATTTAGTTTCTTCGAATAAAATTTTAGAGTTAAAAAACAAAGAACAGTTTTTATTTTTATGTGTAATTGCCTATTTCTATAACGGAATATGCGATGCAGCATAATATATGATTTTAGGCTAACACAGATATTAGAGATTTACCCGGAAGTCATGCTTTTAGTACCTATTCCGCTTTCTTAAAGTAAAATACTAGATCATTGCTAGTATTACCGATACTGAAAACACGAAATTAATTGAACACTATTCATAGAGGAGGATTTTAAATTCGCTAATAACATTGTATCATTATAGAGACGAATAAAATACTAAACGCTTATGTTATTGACTCTTTTTCTAACGCTACAAATAAATAAGATATTTAAAATAAACAAAGCTATTTTTAACAAAAATCAAGCTAAAATGACGTATGGCAGTTGAGTCAGTTGGCAGAGCGCAGTAGCAGCTTCTTAGGAAGTTTAGGTAATATGAACATGGGCTGTGGAGAAACTATCAATGAGAGCAGTAGAGAAGAGACATTGTCTGGGGAACATGACAAACGTAGGATTAGAGAGAGTACGTGGAGTTCGCTTGGGATCATGTAAAAAGAAGGAGTACATAAGAGACGTGGAGTTGTCTATTAGACATCAATGACGTGACGCAGAATATATAAGTTATAACGTATTAAAGAAAATAGCACTTACCTATGCATCTACCTGGTAATGTCCACGTTTCATTATCTTGGCATTTGATAATTTCACTCCCTTTAAGTTTATATCCTCTTCTACAATTCAAGTGACATGTGCTTTGGTTGCAAAGCGCCCATACACCATTTACTACTGTTGGTGGTGTTTTACAACCTAGTTCTTGGAATTGCAAATTAAAATTACATAACAATAAAACAACAGCTTTTAAAAATAGGTGATTGGCTAATTTTATACTGGTATATAAAAAGTAAAAGTAAAGTTTCCCTTTCAAAACTGACGGTCTATGGGGCAAATGATGTAGAGTTCACTTGTTTCTGTGACTCGGCATATGAAGAGATAGTGTGGTCAGCACTATGCCCAGCCGCCTTTACTTTTCCTAACGTGAGTTAGGAACCCATCAGAGCTGGGTAGACTCAGGGACGGTCTAACTACTTGAACCCGGATTCGAACTCGAAACTTACGGGTAAGCAGTCCAGCTCTCTACCGTTAGACCACTCCCTCCCTTACTGGTATATAAGATGCAGCAAAATTGATTGTGATGTGCAAACAGATATATTTTAGTTTTACTTTTAGAATGGCAGTGATGCCTTTTGTAAACTATCCTCTTTCTTAAATGAATATGCTAGATCGTTGATATTATCACTGATATTGGACATATGGAATGCATTGAACTATTGTCACACTGTTGGAATATTGAAAATTCCTTGATGTCATTTTACATTTTTGACATTGTCAGAGACAAATACAATACAAAACGTTTACGATATAGTCATTTTCACCATAATTTTTAAATAAGATAATTAAAATGAATAAAACAGCTATAAATTATCTAAAAAAATAAACGCAAATGATAAATATAAGGTTGATATATTTGTGGAAAAAGCCAGAAAATTGTTAAAGCTTTTCATAAAGTTTTAGTTAATAGGATCGTAAGCTCTGGAGAAGCTATTAACACAGTACAGACAATACTCGGAGTTCTCTGGAGAAAAAAACCTCAAGCAGCATATTAAAGAAAATTATATTTACCTTCACATTGACCCGGAGATGACCACGTTTCATCATCTTGGCAATTGATAATTTCCCTCCCTTCCAATTTAAATCCTTTTTTACAATTCAAATGACATGTTCTTTGGTTGCAAAATCTCCATTCACCATTTACTACTGTTTGTGGTGTTTTACAATCCAATTCTTGGAATTGAAATTTATAATTACAAAACAATAAAATAACAGTTTTTAAATAGGTAAATGGCTAATTCTATACTGGATTATAAGATGCAGCATAATTGCTGTTGATATGCTAAGAGATATACTTTAGATTTACTTTTCAGTACGGCAGTGATACCTTTGGTTAATAAATTTACTCTTTCTTATTGTAATGTGCTGGATCGTTGATATTATAACCGATATTGGACACACCTAATTTATTGAACAATATTCACGCAGTTTGAATATTTAAAATTCTTCAATGACATTATATTATTTTAAATTATCAAAGACTAAAGTAAAACAAGACGTTTAAGTTAGAGTCATTTTCGTGCTAAGTTCTTAGTAAAACTTATAAAATAAACTAGACTACCCGTCATCCCTCAGATAACTGTGGGGTCATTCATAAAAACATTACGTCTGTCACTTATTGTCATAAAAAAACCAGACCCCACATTCAAAAAGACGTTGTTTTATCTTTTAAAACAGCATTGGTCTGACCACACTATCCCTTCATATGCTTAGGACAAAGAAACAGATGAACTCTACTTCACCTGCCCTGTATCCCGCAAAGTTCAGATAGACAACTTTATCATTCACATCTAAAATATAAAATAAAAATTGATTTTTTTTAACAATAACGTGATATCTCTAGAACCAGTGCCACCCGCATAAAAGCCTATTACTCTAACTACTTAGCTATTTAGACTCATGACGACACTGATGTTTTTTATGGTATAGTTTAATACTTTGAGTATCCTTATGCCAAAGGCGTAGCGATGGGGGGGGGGGGGGGGGGCAGGGGGGGCATATGTCCCCGGGCGCCGACCTTATGGGGCGCCAAAATGGGTTGGAAAAAGTAATCGAAAGTTTGAGGATTGTAGAAATCAAAAGTTTGAGGGTGGGGGGATGCAAATTGAAAGTTTGAGGGGGGGTGGGTGTGCAAATCGAAAGTTTGAAGGGAGGGGGTGCAAATCGAAAGTTTGTCATGGGCGCCGGGAATGGTCGCTACGCCTCTGCCTTATGCAACTTGATTTATGCGCAAAAGCACTATCTTGATCTAGATCTAAGTCTAGTAACTTTCAAATTAAATTGTATCTTAAATTAGCCAATTCCATAACTAAACAAACAAAGATTTATATAAAATAATGAAAGTCTGAAATAGTTTAGTATAAAAACTCATTATTATCTAGATCTAGATAGATTTATCTAGATTCTACGACTCGTTTGCTTAAGTCTAGTTTTTGCGTAACTCTTGCTAGATCTAGATTAGACCAATTCTAGATTAAGATAGATAAATCACAAAGATTTATATCAAGTATTTAAGAACTAAAGTATTTTAATAAAGACATTCAAAAATGTATTATGAAATTTATTGTAAAACTAAATGAAAAAGAAAGTTGAAAATTTGTATAAGTGTTGGAACGTAATAAAAAAAGCGAACGGACGTATTGTTAAAGTTACAGCCGACAGAAAATTAGCCTCATAACGCTTTAAAATATAAAGAAAAAATAAACGCAAAGGATATACAGTTAATTTAGAAAGTTGGAAGAAGCCATAAATTGTGGAATCTTTTCAAGTGGTTTCGTTAATAGGAACGTGGGACCTGGAGAAACTATCAAGGCATGAACAGAAGAATCTCGAAGTTTTCATGAGAATACATTAAGGAAGAAGTACAGACGAGATGCACAATAGCACAATCAATACCAATAATAGCGTATTAAAGAAAATAAAATGA